ATTAACCTTTTAAACATCCTCCTCCCACATATAGACGTATAATCATTCTTTGGTACAAGGAGTTAAAAAAGCTTCTACTGTTCAATCAACTTTGATTTATTTTCTTCATCTTCAATATTGATAGTACGTGGCTTCATTGCTTCAGGCACTTCTCTTTGCAAATTAACCTTCAACAAACCGTGCTCCATCGCTGCACCAATAACCTTGATAAAGTCGGCCAGCTGAAAGTGACGCTCAAAAGCTCGACCTGCAATCCCCCTGTGCAAATATTCAACAGAATCATCCTTTAAATCTGCTTTTCCAGAAATAATTAGAACATTATCCTGCAACGTCACATTTAGATCTTCACGGCGAAAGCCTGCGACTGCCATCGTAATACGGTAGGAATCTTCCGCGATCTTTTCAATATTATAGGGGGGATAAGAAGAGCCACTAACATCTGCGCTTAAAGCAGAATCTAGCATGTGCATCATATTATCAAACCCAATACTTGACCGAAAAAGGGGCGTTAAATTATAATTCGTCATCGTTATCCTCCTTGAGCGATACGACCAAAACCACCTGGCAAAAAGCCCAGGCTAACAAAATAAAAGCTCAAGACCCAAAAGGCATCACAAAAGCTTTCACTTACTTTTATTGTAGGGGTTAAGACGTATTTTTTCAAGCTTATTACTACCAAACTAATTTGGCTGAGAAAGCACTATTGAGCGCAATCATAAACTATTAGGCAATGATATCAGGTAACAGTTTAGAGCTTACCTTTGTAATTTCATCCTTAAGATGGAGTTTTTTTCTTTTCAAGCGTTGCACACATAATTGATCGACCACTGGAGAAGCCGTCAATTCCTTTAAGCGGCTTTCCAATGTTGCATGCTCTGCTCTTAACTTCTCAAGTTGCTTCTTGAGAAGCTCCTGATTTTCCATTAAAAAGGCTCCCTACGATATCGAATAATCTGAAAACAGTGTATCAAAAAATACAAAATTCGGAAACGCATTGCATCTCATCAAATAATTTTTAATAGTAGAGAGGAACTAAATTATAAAAACTTCAAGGATTTGATGTCTAAACGCATTGGTATTTTAACAAGT